CCTTTGTTTGTTTAGTTGATAAAAACCTTGTCTTTCTTACTATTTCATTGGTTATAATGTTGCTTAGTATGATTGTAGTTGTAATTATGGATAGTGAGTAGTGTCTTGTTTCTAGGGGTTTGGTGAAGGTATGCTTTAAGTTTGATGTATGTTAGGCTAGGTTATTTTGGAATATTTGTGATTAAATCTTCCTTGTGCTTATACTTATTGGCCACTCCATGTTTATGGCCATATGCATGTTGTGGTTGAATGAGTTAGACTAAATCGTGACGATAGTGTGATTTAGGAATAGTCATTAGGTGATTGATTATTGCATGACCTTAGCTTGTATGCCTTACGACGATAGTGTAAGTGTATGCTAGCTAGGAAAGCTCTTAATCCCGATAGGTGATTAGAGGGTATTCTTGATATTGCCTTGTACGAGTCGCTTGTTTTGCATATAAACTTATTTCCCGGTGCCTAACTTCGTTGAATTCATAGCATGTTTGATCCTTCCCCCTAGCGCTTGTTTTAATTGTTATTCTATCCCCTTTAATCATTACTTTACCCACCATATTTCTTACCCGAACTAGTTTGACATTAGGAGATAAATAGCGGTGCCTAATTGTTTCCCTGTGTTCGACCCTTAACTTGCCTCTATACTCGTTTAGTTTCATGTTTAGGACTACAAATATCATTTGATAGAGGTGTCTTAGTAACGACCTAACATACCGCCTGTCAAATTGGCGTCGTTGCCGGGGAAATGGTTTCCATTGTGTGTTTATTTTATTGTTGAGACTAGTTCTTTTCCGTTCTTTTGTTTTTCCGTATCTTGTGAGTGCTCACTTTCTACTTAGCTTTGTATATGCACAGGAGGCTTAATTTCTCTAAGCCTTTGGTGTCCATAGACCTTGAGCTAGAGCGTACTCTGGCCCAATTGTGGAGACAAGCAAGGGAGAGAGGTGAAGACCCACTTCAAGAGGAAGTGAGAAGTTCCCCTACCCCATCTTCACCCACTTCAAGTGAGGAGGGTGAACCATCCATAGGCTCAATTCCCAACCCATTTGCCAATAACGATAATAAACAAAGCATGGCTGATCAAGGAAACATGGGTGATCAAAGGTCACTAAAGCAATTTGGAGCACCCGAACCATTTGCCTCTCAAAGTGGGATCTTAGCCCCCACCACTCAAGCAAACAATTTCGAGATAAAGCCTTATTTCATTTCAATGATAGAGAAGAGGCAATTCACCGGTGGGAAATTTGAGAATCCCCATGAGCATCTCAAAGAGTTTCTCAAGTATTGTGACACCATCAAGATCAACGGAGTCTCCCAAGAGTACATAAGATTGAAGATGTTCCCGTTCTCACTCATGGGAGCGGCGAAACATTGGTTGAACAAGGATGTTCCCCCTAGTTCCCTCACAACTTGGAATGAGGTAACTATGGCGCTCCTAGGAAGGTTTTACAATCACAAGAAAACCCCCGAGGCTCGCTCAAAGATTCAAAGTTTCCGCCAAAGACGTGGAGAGTCTCTTTGTGAGGAATGGGAGAGATTCAAAGAGTTACAAAGGCAATGCCCACACCATGGGATTCCTAATTGGAAAGTTCTCCAAACATTCTATGGAGGAGTCTCCCTTCAAAGCAAGACTAGCCTTGATGCCAGAGCTAGAGGCCCAATCATGAACAAAAGGGAAGACGAAGTGGAGAGTATCATAGAAGATGTTGTGCGCAATTATGAGGATTGGTACGAAGGTGAGAGGGAAGCCACTTCTAGCAAAGGAACGGTACAATCCGTCGAGCAATCCAATGCCATTACAAATCTTTCCAAACAAATTGAGGAGTTCATGAAGTCAAGTTCTCAAAATACTTCCTCCCCTTCTCCCAAGGGAGGCCATGGTATGAATCCTTCTACTTCTTCTCCCTCTAATTACAATGTTATGCCTCCCGGTTGTATGTTTTGTAATATATGTGGAAACTATGATCATAATTCTCAATAATGCATGTCCATTAATGAATATTAAAACCCTTCCTAAGAAAATGATGATAATGTTGAACATGTGAATGCTATGAATTTTGCTCCCCAAATGGGAAATTCGGGAATGAGGCCCAACATGAACCGTGGTTGGATTAAAATTGGAACCAAGGAGGTGGTGGTTTTGATAACCAAAACCATGTTAGGGGAGGCCCTTCCAACTTCAATTGAAGAGGATACCCTAACCAAATAGGTTTTGGAAGCCAAAACCAACACCACCACCCCAATCACTATGACAATTAAAACCAAGGTTTTGGTGGCCAAAGTAACATGGGGTACAATCAACAAAAATACAACTCCGACCATGGCGCCGGGGGATATAGACCTCAAAATTCTTCTACTTTCTCAGAAAATAGTAGACCCCCCGGTTTTGACCAAGTAAGGCCCCATTCTCAAATTCCCCATACTCAACTGATCGGTGGACAATAGGTCGTTAGTTTATTATCCTAGATCAAAATTACAATTTATAACTCCTATCCTAACTCTATCAAATTTTGTTTTAGATAGCGGTAAGGTAGGGTCGATTCCCAAGGAAACGGGGGTTTAGCACAATTAATACGGAATCGAGGAGAAATTTCTAGTAACAAAAGAGGGTATTTGTATTTGTGTTTGAAGAATTCTATGGACAAACCAACTACTATTGAGCCTAGAATAAACTAGAAATAAGGGAAATAGATTAAACACTTTTAAAAACAAATAAATGGACAAGATTAGAGAGATAACAATGACAAAAGCACTAGGGAGAGGGGGATTCAATCATGAACAAAGAGTACTAATGAAAACCGAGGGGAAACCGATTCTAGGAGTATAAACTCTACCTAAAATAGTTCATTCTCATGCAACTACTCAAGCAAGTCGATGAAATCATTCACACCTAGATTAAATCATTCTCATGCATTCAATCAAGGGCTAGATCTTGGGATTTGAGGTGCACACACTAACTCCAAGCATATTATAGCTCAAATCATCAACTCAAGAATAAATCCCAATCAATAATCAATAGTATTCAAATACACATGATTTTCACCCCCTTCCCTAGCTAAAAACCTAAGCTAGAAGGAAGGGAAAAGCCATAACAACTAACATAAGCATGTATTCAATACTAACACAACCTAACATGATTCTAACTTGAAAGGAATATTAAAGAAACTAATAAAGTTTGAATATTTATGGAAATAAACTCAAGTAAGAGCAATAAAACAAAGAAGATCAAAAACTAGAGAAGCAAAAGTAAAGATTGGTATTATAGAGATGAAAGATTACCAAATCATCAAAGTAGTAGCAATAATCTAGAAGAAAGCTTGAATATTTGATTACAAAGATTGAATCTTGAACACTAGTGTTTTCTCTCTCTAGAAACCATGAACTTCTCTCTCTACAAATGATTTTTGGGGCCAATGGAATAGTGGATGCTAAGAAACTCAAGCTAGGGACTATTTATAGTCTTCTACCAAAAGGAAGAAAAAGGGCAAGGGGGAGGGCTCTCCGAAGAGGCAGCCGTGCCCTCTCCAAGCTGGGTAAATAGCCTCGTAATACCCAGAAAGCCGCGCCTGCGGGGGAAAGTGCAGCACCTGCGGGGCCAATGTCGCGCCCGCGGCCTCTATGCTCCGCGCCCGCGGCTCGCCATCTCCACTTTTTTCTGCTGGCTTCAGACTTTTCTTGTCCGCGCCCGCGGCTTACAAGCCCGCGCCCGTGGCCCATCAGAATAGCGCGCCCTCTCCATCTTGGAATCTCCACTCCTTTGGCAAGCTCCTTTGGCATCTCCACTCGAGCTATTGATTCGTGAATCGCACATAAGCGCTGGGAGCTGTCAAAACACACAAAAAGGAGGTAAAAACTAGAAGAAAAGACAAAAGGTGAGGAAAAATACGAGAGGAAGCTAAAGTGACTAAAATCAAGATAAAAGGGGTTAAAATAGGCATAAGCAAGTGACAAATCCGGGGGAAATCGGTAGTAAAAAGGGTTATGCTTCAAAATTTCATTAAAAATCAAGAAAACCATAATAAGAGTCAAGAGGAAGAAAAGAAACAATTTAAGTCACACATGAAAATGCTTGAGACCCAAATCTCTCAAATTGCCCAACCAAGTTCTTCATCCTCCCCTTTTTCCTCTTCTTCTTTACCTAGCCAAGGTGTCAAACCCAAACCTATTTATGCCATTACTACTAGAAGTGGGAAGATCCTTGAGAGTGATTTAACTATTGAGAAGAGTTCCGATGTAGGGATAGGACTTGAGGTTCAGGATGAGTCATCAAGAGAGAGTGAGATCCTAAAAGGAAGTGCTAAAGAGAATGAGAGGGGTAAGAAAGAGAAAGAGAAGGAACCCCAAAAGGAGAGCACCAAAGCTAAAACACCTTTACCCCTTAATCTCCAACCTAGGAATGAGAGGTTGCCTTTTCCCCAAAGATTTGCTAGGTCTAGGCTTGATGTCCAATTCGGAAAATTTTTGGATGTAGTAAAGAGCCTGCATGTTTTTATACCCTTTGTGGATGCTGATTAGGGGATTTTTCCCTACCAATCACCGTTTGACAAATGGACCAATCAGGTTCTGCCATGTGTCCGCCATGTGGGCCAATAGGAGCCTGCCACGTGTCAGGCGTGGATCTGTCCACCATGGACCAATTGTGTCCCAACACGTGTCCTCCTCCCATGCCAAATGGGAAAACCGGCCACCTAGGCCTAAAAGATTTATGGAAGCCCAATCAGCCCTAGGTTGACATAAACCTAGGACTGGCACGCATTCCAAGGCATATAAATACCTTCATTAATCCTCATTAAAGGGGGATTAAGCAAATTGATTACTCTCACCTTGAGAAAACCTTTACCTTTTTTCCGCATTTTTTACTCCTAAAAAAGTACTAACTTGATCGTCGAAGGCGGAGCTCCCACCACCCGAAGTCTCCGTTGTTTTGCAGGTACAGGCGCACGGTCCTAGCCCTGAAATTGTAACTCTCCCGCAGGACATCAGAAAACCCCAAAATAGATGCTATGAAAGAGATGCCTCACTACTCTAATTTCCTAAAAGACCTTTTGAATGGAAGGAGAGAAGTAGAAACCGTTAGCCTAACCGCAAATTGTAGTGATATTCTCTCTAGTAAGCTACCAACCAAATTGCAAGAACCCGATAGTTTTTCCATCCCTTGTTCTATCAATGCGGTTCATTTGGGGATGGATTTGTGTGATCTAGGTGCTAGTGTGAGCTTAATGCCCTTCTCGGCCTACCAAAACCTTAATGTGGGAAGCCTTTCACCTACAAACATCACCCTCCAACAAGAGGATAGGTCCACAAAATTGCCTATAGGGAAAGTAGTGGACGTGCCCCTTAGAGTTGGTACGTTCACTTTTCCGGTGGACTTTTATGTTCTTGAGATGGATGCAGATGAAAGAATTCCTATAATTTTTGGTAGGCCATTCCTAGATACTTCTAAAGCAATCATTGATGTCAAAGAAGGTAGATGACCTTGAAGGTTGACAATGATTCTATCGAATTTGATTTGAATAAGGTAATGAGACAACCTTCCTCTAGTAATGAATGCTTTAGAATAGATACAATTGAAAATTTGATGAATGAGTTTAGATACCCTCATATGCATGCTTCTAATGATCTACTTGAGAATGTTTTGTTGAATGAGAATGAAGTAGGTGATAAAAAGGAGATGCAATTATATGAGGAAATGCTTGATGAGAAAGAGGAGACAACCACCGACCAAGAGATGCTCCAAACATATAAAGTCTTCCAAGTAGAAGAGGAGGAGATCTCCAATGGTAAGGGAGCTCTGAAGGTAGAATTAAAACCTCTATCTTCGGGCTTGAGGTATGTATTTTTGGATGCTAATGAGACTTCCCCGGTCATTGTCAATGCTAACCTCACGGAAGAGCAAACCTCCTCATTGCTTATTGTTATGAAAAATCATAGGAAGGCTTTGGGTTATACTCTTGATGATCTCAAGGGTATAAGCCCCTCCCTATGCACGCATAAAATCGATTTAGAGGAGGGTGCTAGGCCGTGTAGGCAGCGGCAAAGGAAACTTAATCCTTCCATGCAAGAGGTTGTGAGGAAGGAAGTTTCCAAGCTACTTGAAGCAGGGATCATCTATCCAATCGCTCATAGTGATTGGGTGTCCTCGGTTCAAGTAAAGGGAGGTATGACGGTAATGGTCAATGTGTATTTATTACCGCCAATTGAATGCCAATACATCCAAAGACCATTTTCCATTACCGTTTATCGACCAAATGCTTGAGAGGCATACAAAGCATGCTTTTTATTGCTTTCTTGATGGTTATTCGGGATTCTTCCAAATCCCAATTGACCCAAAAGATCAAGAAAAGACCACTTTCACTTGTCCCTACGGTACTTTTGCTTACCGTAGGATGCCTTTTGGTCTTTATAATGCCCCGGCTACCTTCCAAAGATGCATGATGTCAATTTTTAGTGACATAATTGAGGAAGAAATGGAAGTTTTTATGGATGACTTTTCCGTTGGTGGAGGCATATATGAGAAGTACCTAATGAATTTATCTCGTTGTTTAGAAAGGTGTGAGAGTGCCAACTTGGTGCTCAATTGGGAGAAATGCCACTTCATGGTGGAAAATGGCATTGTTCTTGGCCATAAAGTCTCCCAAGCGGGCATCGAATTTGATGGTGCGAAGGTTGATGTGATTGAGAAGCTTCCTCCTCCCACAAATGTGAGAGAACTGAGGTCTTTCCTTGGTCATGCCAGCTTTTACCGCTGCTTTATCAAAGATTTCTCTTTGATTGCTAAGCCTCTCACATCTCTCTTGCAACAGGATAAAGAATTTGTATTTGATGAAGCTTGTCATGAGTCATTTTGTAGGTTGAAAAGGGCTCGTTGCACCGCCCCCATAGTTCAAGGACCGGATTGGTCTCTACCATTCGAGCTAATGTGTGATGCAAGCAACGAGGCCATTGGATCGGTTCTAGGACTAAGAAAGGATGGGAAACTTCACGCTATATACTATTTTTCCAAGACTCTCAATGATACTCAACGGAATAATACAACTACCCAAAAAGAGTTCTTAGCGGTTATTCACTCATTTGAGAAGTTTAGAACCTACCTCATTGGTTCTAAGACAATAGTGTATACCGATCACTCGGCTCTCAAATATTTGATAAGCAAGAAGGAGGCTAAACCGAGGTTGTTGAGATGGGTCTTGGTCCTTCAAGACTTTGATTACGAAATGAGAGATAAGAATAGAGCCGAGAACGTGGTGGCAGGCCGCCTTTCTAGGTTGGGAGGTGCAAGAATACATGAAGACGGTTTGCCAATTGAAGATAACCTAATGGACAATGTCTTATATGCTCTTGAGGCAAAATCAGAGCCTTGGTATGCGGATATTGTGAACTACTTGGCTTGTAGTGCTATACCTCCGGATTTCACTCCTCAACAACATCGAATGCTCAAGCATGAAGCAAAGAAGTATATATGGGATGACCCCATGTTGTTGAAGAGAGGGGTGGATGGACTTTTTTGAAGAAGTGTTCCTAATGAAGAGTTCCAAGATGTGCTCTCAATGTGCCACTCATCCCCTTGTGGTGGTCATATGAGTGCTCTAAACACCGCTTCCAAGGTTTTGCAATGCATGCTCTTTTGGCCCCCTCTATTCAAAGATGCTTGGCAATTTGTTAAGACTTGTGATAGGTGCCAAAGGACGGGGAACATATCAAGGCGCGATGAGATGCCCCAAAATCCGATACTTGAGCTGGAAATTTTTGATGTTTGGGCAATTGACTTCATAGGCCCTTTCATCTCATCCCAAGGAAACTGGCACATTCTAGTTGCCATTGATTATGTTTCCAAGTGGGCGGAAGCCGTGGCATCTCCCACCAACGACTCAAAGGTGGTCATCAACTTGCTTAAGAAGGTCATCTTCCCAAGATTTGGTGTCCCGAAAGCAATTATAAGTGACGGAGGTTCACACTTCAACCACCATGCATTCAACAACCTCCTCTCAAAATATGATGTTTCGCACAAGCGTGGTCTTGATTACCACCCTCAAACAAGTGGTCAAGCGGAGATTACAAATAGGGAGTTAAAGATTATCTTGGAAAAGACCGTGGCTAGAACAAGGAAGGATTGGTCTAGTAAGCTCATTGATTCATTGTGGGTATATAGGACCGCCTTCAAGACTCCGATTGGGACAACCCCCTACAAAGCCTATGTTACCATGATAGTGCAAGCCTCTACAAAGCAAGAACCAAGGCATGGCATGACGCTCAAATTTCCATGAAGGAGTTTGTGGAAGGACAAAAGGCCCTGCTTTACAATTCAAGACTCAAGCTTTATCCCGGAAAATTGAGGTCTAGATGGAGCGGGCGATTCCAAGTGTCCAAAGTCTTTCCATATGGCTCAATCGAGATATTCAATGACAAGTACCCTCCATTCAAAGTGAATGGGCACCGTCTTAAGCCATACTACGAAGGTCAACTAATTGAGAAGCCGAAAAATTTGTCACTCATTGAAGTTTTCAAGTTACCATGATTCTTTTGTGAAGGGCGTCAAGTTAGTGACGTTAAAGAAGCTCTTACGGGAGGCAACCCGGTTTCTAACTTTTTTTTATTTATTTTTATTTCCTTTTTCACACTTGAACTAATCCATCTAACACTTTTCTTAATCAATTGTGATGTAGGTGTGATTGTGTGTGTCCATGAGAAAAGAGAGATAAGAGTTGAAGCAAAATGAGAAATTTTGAGAATTTGTGGTCGAATGAAGACCAAAGACAGAAAGCCAGCACGATTTGGTCGCGGCAAAAGAGCGATCTGCGAGAACAGAGTGGCACGGGCGCGCGTCTATTAATCGCGGGCGCTCCAGTTCTTGGGTCATAAATTACTCCCATTCCAAAAAGTAGGAGCGATTTTATCGCGTCTAAGGAGCGGTTCGTGTCGTCAAAGGGGCGCGAGCGCGCCTGATTTTGTCGCGGGTGGGCCAGCTGTTTGGTCTAAAAGGTCTCTGAATTCCAAAGAGTAGGAGCGATTTTATCGCGCCTAATGAGCGACCCGCGATTTCGAAGAGGCGCGGGCGCGCGTGATCTGGACCCGGGCGCGTTAATACTTTGGTCTAAATTCCGGGCAGTTGGAGCGATTTTGTCGCGATTCAAGAGCGGTCGCGTCTTCACTTAGGCGCGGGCGCGCCCTTCTGGGTTTCAAAAAAAATACGGCTTGGCTTTGTCTCATAAACCCTCACAAACATAGCCTACCTCCTTCATCACCTTTCTCTCTCTAACCCCACAGCCGCTCCTCACCACCCATTCTCAAGATCCGTTCATCATCTCTTCTACCATCCTCATAAATCATTCATCATCATCAAAGCTTCAATCATTCATCATCATCACCGTTCGTTCATCACCAAAAAGCAAATAAGCATCATCAACGCCAACCACAACGAAATTCTTTGCTACTCAAAATCTTCAACAATTCGACACCAAAACAGCAATTTATTCGCATAAAGGTAAAGGTATTCAAATTCCTTCGTTAGTTATTCTCGTTTGATTAATTTTAAAGCAAGGATTTTGGTTATCTTAGGTTATTATCGAGATTTTGTTGATTATTGTTGAAAATATTGTTGGATTCTGTTGAAATTGTTGTTCGATATATTCCTTTTGTTTGTTGGATTATTATTGCTTGTAAACATGTACATGGTGGTTTTGTGGAGGTTAAGGGTGGAAATAGCCAGGAGTTGGCTTTGAAAAAGGAGTAAAAAAAAAATAAATAAATAAAAATTGGGTAGTCATCAGTTTAAGGATTGGGAAAAAGAGAAAAACCGCAAAGTCGGGACAATCGTCCCAAAACCTAGAGTCGGACCAACCCAATACCTTACCCACCTTAAAGTTCTTAAACAATAGCCGCTCCTCCATATACTTTGACTTGAAAAAAAGAAAGTTGCGACCTTCTAGGCACTACCATCGTGGGGTCATGATAAAACTTGGAATAAATGACAACTTGTGGATTCTTTTTTACAACCTTCGACTACGGTCATTCGTAAACTCTTCATTTAATGACCTACCAAGAACCCACCTTAGAGTTTTGCTCGTCTTTCCAAGTTGACACGCTACAAGATAATGACTTTTGGATTTCTTTCCAACTCTTTAACAACCAACACACCATGTCACTAGCACAGTTTCACCAAGCCCTGGACTTCCACTCAGATGCAGACCTCCCCTACCCGCTTTATGAGAACTTTAGGGAGTATAGTGAGTATGCTTGGTGGCGTTCCATTTCAGGTAAAAATGAGTTTCATACCAGGAATTCCATAGCCAGTGAGATTTGGCATCCTGCCCTTAAGATCCTACACCGTTTATTAGGGTATTCTACCATTAGTTAAAAAGGACCTAGGAAAAATGACTAAGGAAGAGGTCTTTTGCCTTTGGATAGCCACAAAAGGAGAGCATGCACGGAGGTTGAATTTGGGATTCCTCTTTATGAAAACTTGCCAAGCTATAGCAAAGGGAAAAAGGCCAGGGGAGATACATTGCGGGGCGATGGTCACTAGATTGGCCACCAAGTTAGGTTACACTAACCTTCTACCTCTATGCACGGCCGTAGGTAGTAGTGGGGATATTTACCTTTACTTGGACCAACTTCGCCGCCCTGATTTTATTACTCCCACGGCAAACCCCAATTCTTTTAGGTGGCTAGTTAGAGGAGCCCACCATTGTTTCCTCCCTAAGCCTCACTTCACCTCCCTCACGCATGAATCCTCTAATGTGTGAAGAGTTTTGAGAGCCACATGTACAGATACATTTCAGCTATCTGATATAGCTAGATAGTTGCAAGTGATTTATGAGTCAAAGCAAAGCCACCATCTACAGCAGCAGGCCCTCTATGACTCAGCTGTGGATAGAGGAGAGATTGCTCCCCCCGTGAACTACCCCAATTGGCCGCCTCAGCACGGCGCTGTTCCTTCTTGGGGGGGGGGGACAATCTCCCCACTAACCCCTACTGGCAAGGTCCTTTTGAGCTCGGTAGGGAGCTCCGCATCTTTCCAGAGGACGGGCAATACGATTATCGTGTGCCCGGCGGGTGTGACTTTAGAGGGGACCCTGCTTACCCCTATGTGCATCCTGATCACCCCGCCCCTCTGTATTCCCAGTCTGAGGACGCTCCCTATGATCCTTTGCCCAGTAGGCAAGAGGATCTTTATAGAGGTGACTACGGTTGGCCGTTGGGCTTTGACAGTGGTTGGGGCCTTTTCGGCCCCCCTAATGGCTTCACTAATGACGAGCCGCCACGTTAGCTTGGCTCACCTAATGAGCCTAGCTCTAGTGGCCAGTAGGCTACGTCCCTTGAGTATATCTTTCTCCTCTGCTTTTGCATGCATATTTTGATGAGAAGGAGATATACTCTTGGTAGGGAGTGACTTGGCTGGGATTCTTGCTTGCTTGCCTATCGGTCTTTCATTGTTCTACTTGCAGCTTTATGCTGCTCATTCTGCTGAATTGCATGACTGTTTTCTTTGGTTGACTTTGCCCCTGTTCACTGACATTGTTGATGAGTTTTTGATGTGGTTTTGATGATGATGCTGCTTTGGGGACGCTTCTCTCGGTTTGATGGATACCGGTGAGTTTGCCCCTCGTTTTTTCTTTATGATGATGATGATTACTGATTTTTTCCAACATAGTGATTAACCAGTGCAGGTGTGTGTATATATGGTTCGATGATTTTTGAGGTAATGTAGATATTTGAGGAGATTAAGAAATTTTGTCAATAGTAGATTAGTTTACAAAAAAAAAAAGAAAAAAAAAAGAAAAATATGGTTCCGTTGCTGACTAGGCGTCATTTCGGTGAGATCTTTCTTTTATCCTTCTTTCTATTTTTCTTTAGTGTGCTTTAGGAAAGCTTTAATTTAGATTGGAGTTAAATGGTTCGAGGTAGTATGCATTTGATTCTTCGAAATCTGGTGATCGTTGGTATTGATGCCGAACGATCCTTGTTTGACGATTGGAAATTATTTGCTTGCATGCCTTCTGTCTTTATGCTCCTTTGTTTTGTCTCGGATTTTTCTTTTGCTCAAAACTAATCATGTGGTTATTGTATGTTTTGTGTTTATGTTGAGCAATAATTGATGGATTTGCATTCTTGACTATCTTTCTTTCTAAGGATTAAGAGTTTCCACGTTCTTGGATAGTCATTGGTTGACTCTAGGATATGTCTATGCTAAGGTAGTTGTGCTAGAACTCGTAAGGCCCATCGAACCCAAATTCACTTGTTTGTGGTAAGAAGGGGTTGCCCTCATTGGGGGATTTAAAGCCCTAAAGGTAGTTTTTGTAACTCGATGTGAGTTTTATTGTTCAAGCCTCAAACACTTCTTGCATGAGCGGCATAGGATCCTTACCAAGGCATGCTTAGATCGAGAACTTGATGTCTAGCTACCCAAGATCTCTACCGAACTAAATCTAGGGAGGACAAAGGCATTTTCTTCGGTGACTATTTTGCTTTTCTAGGTTTAGCTTTTCTTTTGTTGATTCCTTGTAATTTC